GTTTGGTTTTGGCCCCTTGTGGCCCCTAATTATGTACCATACGACATACAAATCATAATATATAGCTGTATATTGTTAAGATAAACATTTTTGCTTCAGTAATGTATAACAAAATATTGATTGTTAAAGATTTATCGATTAAAGACTTTTGGCCCCTTTCTGCCCCTAATGTGATGAGTCAGCACTTTTTTCTTGATATTATATGAGAGATCTTGTAATTCTGCACAAATATTGCTCAGTATGTTATGACAAGATAATTATACTTTAAAAGATACAATGCAAAATGTCCCAAAAAATCACTCATGATTCGTGTCCTAATTTTTGACCCCTACCGAACTTCCATACTAGGCACTTCCGGAAAATATCCTGACCCCAGGCGCAACATGGCAATATGTCCTCTATCATCACTAAAAATTTCAGCTTTCTAGCTTGAGCCGTTTTTGAGTTTCATCATACAAAGGTCCTCTAAATTTCGATTAAAGGGCGATAACTTCCGACCGGAAGTGAATTTTTAAACGTACTGGCCGGACTTAATTCTAGATGACAACGAATTTACAGTGAAAATTTGAAGCAAATCGAACGAGCCATCTCCGAGAAATCCTCTGCACAAATTTTGTAAGGAGAAAAAAGAATAATAATAATAATAATAATAATAATAAAGGTAAAAAAGAAACATAAGAATAATAGAAGGGTCTTCCGCTGAAGATGAAATACCGAAAAAGCAATAAAAAGAAACAATACAAACACTATAAGTCTTCCGTTGTGAACGGAAAACTTAATAATAAAAAGAAACAATACAAACACTATAAGTCTTCCGTTGTGAACGGAGACTTGAACAAGAAAACAGAGTAAACAATAATTATGTTCCCCAACTTCGTTTGGGGAACATAATTATGAGTATATATCCAAGATATGCTCTACATATGAACATTTTCTGAAACGAGGTAAATTATTGACGAACAAGTCGATGAAACAAGAATATCAGCAGTCTCGTTTAAAGTCATCATTTTGTACTATGTTCTATGGTGTATTCTCGGCATGTGAATGCACAGTGAAATTTACAGCATGCAGTACAATGTAATAGCAACTTGCTTCGAGACCCTCAGTGGCTGGCAAACACATTTTCCTTGAGAGCTAAGTAACTGTCCAGACCGTAACTGCAAAGCATTTCGAATGCACGTCTTCCAATTCGCAAGTCCTGAAAGTAACACAATGAGTCAAACTCATGTGCTTCTTTTAAGATATCTGTAGCATACTGAGAAAGACTTATGAAAATTATGAGTATATATCCAAGATATGACATTTGAAATTACATTAAAAAAAAACCGGAAAAACAAAGGTTGTATCTACAGTTTCGCTGTTTTCGTGTATGTCAAGTTCACGCCACTTTTATTTTAGCTCAAACTTGTAAACAAATTTCAACTGGAGCAGGCAAAGGTGAGAAATATGTTTTAACAACGTTTCAAAAAGATTGCATCAAAATTTTGATCTACTTACATTCACTCTTGGGTACTTGAGACCATGGTAACTATGGAAACTTATTCAACTTTTTGCGCACGCGTACAATATATAGGGAGGAAGAAGTATAAAGCAATATTTTTGTTATGCAATATTTTCGTTATGGGGCATACTGAAATTATTTTTTCCTTTTATTTTTCTCCTTAAAATAAGAGTTTTTAGGTTCTGAAACCTGTAGTTTTCTAAAACCTAAAACTTTTAGAAACAAGCATTCTGAGAGTATTGCACAAAATTTACACTGGTCATGCAAAAATTACACATTTGAAAATTCAATTTTCCCCTTTGTGCTTCATATTTATGTCACCATCGGAAGTGTCTCTTTAAACGAAAGTGAAAAATTCAAAATGCCATAATTCTGTCAAAAATCAATGAAGCGTCAAACCTTTGTAATACAATTCTGTCATACCAGGCTGCTGACTTTTCCCCTCCGGTTTCTCCGGTAGGGGACTAATAAAACAAAATTTACACTGGTCATGCAAAAATTACACTGTCTCCCTCAAATTTAATAAGAATCGTCAAACCTTTGTAACTTTTCCCTAGTCCACTGATCCCTCAAACGACCTAGTCCAGCACAAAAATCCCTAAAGCTACACAGTATGGGAATACTATCTTTCTTTTGAACCTAAACAATTTGCAATCTTTTATTTTTTAAACTTCATGAGTCATTGTCATTTGATCTAATTTGTAAAGTTCCCTATGAACGCTTAACAAATTGAAACTTTAACACCTGGGTGCAGATTTTCCATGCATGCAAAATTTGCACCCGGTAAGTAAATCAACGCATGTGAATGGGACTTCAGTGGACTTCAAGTATAAAATGTTATCCCGCTTCAGACAAATTTGTCGATTACTGATTTGATAAAAGCCAATCACAAGACGCCCTGAAAATTTCCGTATTACGTCGACGTCGAGGAGTAATATGAAAATCGGGCAAGCGATTCCGTTCGAAGCGTTGTTATAAAAATGGCGGCTGAAACGGTTTACGTATAAAAATGGCGGCTAAGAAAAAAATTATTTATATATTGGAAAACGGTTTACGTAGGTAGTTTAGTTGAAACCCGTATTGGGCGCGAAGCCGAGTCCCAATACGGATTTCCATTTCACACCCTGTATGAATCCGTATTAGGTCACTAACTGACTGTGTAACTAACAATACCGGTATTTTTTTTAGGTAGAGTAGGTTTGTGCTCCATAACTTCAGAAAACAAAAAATGTATATTTTTATGCAAACTTTGAGGAATAACATTTAAAAAAATCAGAGCGAAGACCTACTCATATCGATAAATAGTTTTCTAGTGTGAGTAAATGACTCTTCCTTCCCTTTTTCGCGTGCGTATGCAATTTAAAAGAAAATCTTTAATTTTCCTGAGATTTTTGGAAGTTGTCGAGATTTTACGTAAAAGTATACCTTAATGTTATAATATATATGAAATATCAAGGAATTTTTTATAATTAAGAATGATTTAATTTTTTATAATTAAGAATGATATAATTGTTCCCCTTCATTTCTGTAGCACCAAAGGCTTATAGCTCGTCATGCCCACCCATCTCCTTAGTAAATTACATTGATGATATATATATAAAAACAGAAAGGCTTAAACATGTTACCCATCCAATTCCAAACACTAAGAAAAATGATGAATAGAATTGAATAGAAGTCCAAAGTTCTCCTGCACAATCTTGTTAAATTTTACGAGGAATACATGCAAGAAGCACAAGTCTTTAACTGGATTTTCATAATATTTTTTTTTCAATCTATCCATGGAATGATTTAATCCACTGTTTTATTGTATCTGCCATCACTTCCTATGACAATGGCGTTCTGAAACATAAAGATGGAGAAAAAAATGATACAGTTCAATAAAATTAATGCTTTCTTTGTTCGTTACATGTAGTACATGTACGAGAAATAATGTTGCAGCTCTAGATTTTACATAAAGAAATCTCTTAGCCATATCTAATAATTTCTAAACATGAATTATGCAAATATACACATTAATATAAATAGAATAATGAAATCATGTATTGTGACAATTTTTTCTATAACAATATATGTATAAATGTTGTTAAAATAACAATCAATCAACTTGAATCACAAAACAATGGTTGCAATAAAAATGATCGTAAATATGCCCCATTCGAGAATTTTATTTACATACATAAAGCGATGTCTGATCAAAGATTATTTTCTACAAGCTCCTCTTGTTATTGTTTCGTTTTGTCTTCTTGTTTTCATGAACGAGAGCAAAGCTGTTCTAGAATGTTAACATGCATATACATGTACAATGTAAAATAATGATATAAAACTTACCTCTATTAAGTCAACAGTCGTGTTTTGCAGATGTATGTGATCAGAAATTGGTAAAGGTATTCCCTTTCTTCCTAACCCTTTAATATTCACATTGCAGAAATTTAGAACAAAAAAAAATGATAATAATCATAGAAACACAGCCGTATGTTTTCTCATGTTTTGTTCAAAATCAAGACAAAGGTCATTCATACCGTTAAGCATCGGTTCTACTGTCGTCACTACTGCACTGGTTAAAATAAAGTTCACTGTTTGAAACTAAAACATTGGAATAAGAATTAAATTTATTGCCAAGTAAAGTTATAAGGACAAATAATAATACTTCATTTTATTAAAAAAAAATCGCTAACCATTTTTTAAATTAAAATATATTTTCCAAAATATCATCTCTTTTTGAAACTTTTATAAAACGTCTAGTGAAAATTATACCTTCACTCCGCTAAATGATCATGTTCTCTATCGTAAAAAACATTGCAAAAAATATTTTCCATGCTTTTTAACAAAGTACACGTATGTTTCTGATTGCTATATATGTAGGTTATGGTTTTCAAGGTATGGTTATTATCATATATTTACATTTGCTGTGTCTCTCTACTAAACCAACTGTGAAATTGATTTGAAAACCATTTTTGTGTGAAATATACACGGAGAAAATCACGGTGACGTGACGTCACAATGAGGCTACTAAGGTGTCCGGATAAGGCCATTTGCTAGAGCTCAACAGCGTGTTCGCACAACAAGCTGTCACACTAACGCAATTTCGCACAACACGCTGACACGCTAACACACGACACACTGTCACGCAAACGCGATTTCGCCAACACACTGACGCGCAAACACACATTATGCTTTCACTCTAACGCGATTTCGCACAAAAAGCTGACGCGCTAACACACAACACGCTGTCACGCTAACACGAGTTTGCACAACACGAGTTCGGCGTGTTGTGTGTTAGCGCGAACTCGTGTTGTGCGAATACGTGTTAGCGTGACAACGTGTTGTGTGTTAGCGCGTCAGCGTGTTATGTGAACTCATGTTAGCGTGACAGCGTTGTTACAACGCACTTTGAAATTTTTTTCAAAGTGCGTTAAAGTTGGGACCAAATCAACTCACTTTGAAAAAATAAAATTTCTTTTCAAAGTGTGTTAATATCGACCATCTTAACGCACATTGAAAAAAAATTTGTAAGGTCGATATTCTTGCAAATCTTAGGTATGATAAATAATTGCACCTGTTGGATATGTGAAAATGAGCGTGATTTTTCCTTACTTTGAAAATTCTTTCTCTCTAAAATGTCTTTGTGTTCTTAATGTTTTCCAGTTTGCATGCATTTATTTATTGAAAGTTTCCAACGTCACAGTGGGTATGCAAATATACATATATTTGGGTGAAGCATAGGCATCGGTACCGGGAGGGGGGCTTAGTAGACACACAAATGTACATAATATAGACATTGAAAATTTGGGTTACCTTTGGGGGGGGGGGGGGGCGAGTTCTCCACGTTCAATTTGCTACCGTCGGCTACAATGTGTGTAAAAGAAAGAGTTGGGCTGAGAGACCTTCTACTCGTCTTCTCCTTGTTCTCAATGAAATTAAATCAATACATGTAAATTAAAAAGTTTTTCGAAAGATATGATTATTACAAATTAATTCTCTCTATTAATAAAATGTTAGTCTAGAATTTTTGTTTTATACATATTTTTTTCAAAGTGCATTAAATTTCCCCTTGGTAAAAAAATGTTGATGTACACTCTTAACGCACTTTAAAAAATCTTTTCAAAGTGCATTGAGTGTGTCCCAAATTTAACGCACTTTGAAAATTTTTTTGAAAGTGCGTTGATTTTGTCCCAATTTTAAGGTACTTTGAAGAATTTTTTCAAAGTGCGTAATTTTTTCAGATTGCGTTGCCACACAGCGTGTTGTGTGTTAGCGCGTCATTCTTTTATGTGAAATCCCTTTAGCGTGACAGCGTGTTGTGTTAGCGCGACAGCATGTTTTTTCTGAACGCGCTGTTGAGCTTTAGCAAATTGCCCTATCCGGACACCTTACGCTACATCAACGTTACTAAATAATGAGTATATGTTTTGTGCTTTCAAACATGTAAAATGTAAAAATAAGGAATGTTTTTAAGTTTAGTGTGAATTCTTGGTGTGTAAATCATTAATGATGCTTTATGAATTAAGCTTGGCCAAGTAAGGTGCCTCAGGTCATAGTTTGTAGGTAAACAATATTTAAAACCATATTTTAAACTCTTATTTTCAATGAAAAATTAAGAAAACCAGTCATGAATATGGGAGTTTTTTTTCATATTTGACAAAGAAAAAGTATCCAGATTGCCTACAGTCTCTCAGAAAACGGTAATCCGTATGTCCATGACCTCTTCACCTCTTCTTTAAAATATCATGTAAATTTAAAAGGTACAGTTTCAATACAAATTAAGCCCGATATTTTTCTAAAATTTGAAAGTGATATAAGAAATCAGAATTCATTCTTTATGAATCATAGAAATCCCCTCCAATAAGAATATACAAATCGTTTTTCTCATATGACCTCCTTAATACTAATTGTGACGTCATTAACTTCTGCATTTTCCCGTATTTTCTTAAAAAGTTGCAGGAGACATCAATTTTCAGTGGAATTTTCTTTAAGAAAACATACTCTGCCACCTTCGCCTGGAAAGATTTTGAGATATATGATTTTTCATAGCAGTTTACATAATATATCCAAAAATTAAAGTGGGCGACGGTGGCAGACACTGTTTTCTAAAGGAAAATTAGCACAGAAATGAGTCATTTTGAGGCTTCTCTGCAATAAACTTAGAAATACCAAATCAATGACGTCATATTTCCAGAAAGGTCCTCCTTCGTGCCATATTCTTTAATGATTTATCATACTCATCTACTCAACTATTGTTTAAGCCAATTTCATAACTTTTTTAGAACATTAAATTTTTAGGGCACAATAAAGCTCAAACTGTACCCTCTTCTTTAATATAGGTATCGGGATTACTTTTCATGTGATTTCAAATTGATGCCATGTAAACACCCTTTTTTTTTTACATTATTCTGCTCAAGCCATTAAGTACGGGAAAAGAAAGTTGAAATTGATTATGACGTCATAATGGGTCTAGCACTAAAAATAAGTCTCATATGAGTGGATGAAACTACCCGTGAGATAAACCCATCCTTTATCCACGGTAGATGCTTTATCAATAGCACTTCCGATTTTGACACAGCCCCTCGCTTCAAGATTTTAGTTTATCGAAATTTTATTCGTAAAAATTCTTGCCCTTGTAAATGAATGATAAAGAGCAACAATGTCATTAAAACAAGAAAAAGGCTCGTATATGTCAAAGAAGTGTCTTATTAATTTTATCAAGGTACCTGTATTGGCTACTTGAAGATGCATGCCCCCTCCCCCAAATCGATTTAGGAGAAAGTAAGGCCTAGCAGTTAAGTTATTGTTATAAGATTTCTTTAACAACTTCAGCTATGCTTTCTTATATTATACACGTAGGCATACATATGAAGGTGTAAGTTACCATGGATATCAACAATGAATCTACAAGTAGCCTTGCCTAATTTAGCCTAGCAGTAGCACGGTTTGTACTGCCTCCGTTCTAAGAATGATTTCAGAGTAAAATTCACGATCCTTTGGTCCTTACAACTTTCAGTCAGAAGTCCGTTTGATATAAAGCTCCAGATATTGTCAAGTAATATATTTAAAGACGCAGATAGCAAAATTTTGAATTTTTAACACTTTCCTACTTTCGTGGTATCAAGTTATGCGTCATCAATTTGAATTATGTAGTTTCACAGGGGTAGTCTCAAAGTTTTGTTAAAAACGAAAGTAGTATGAGATAAATAGAACATCTATAATTGTGTGATTTGACATTGGCTTTTCCATCTCGTTGAACTGGTGTTTATTCGCTCGGCAAGCTCGGGAATACACAATTTCAACTCGTTGGATAAAGCCAATACTGTAAACCAACTTTTTTTCGCGTGCGAGAAATTTTCGCGAAGTTCGCCACAGCCTCGTTATTGCGAATATTTCTCGCCGTGAACCGGTACTCAAAATATTTGTGTCTATTTACAACAGATCAAAAAAGGCCTGCTCGCGAAAATTAATCGTCGCTAACTAGTTTACCCCTGGAAAATCGCGAAATAAATTTGTCGCGACTAAAAGTTGGTTTACAGTATCAAATCACATAATATAGCTAGATATCCACTATTTACTAGATCTTGACCTGAAGTAAAAATAACTACTGGTAAACATAGTCCACCTTACACTAGATGTATAAATGCGCAGAGAAATATCTGAGCATAAAAAGATCATTTAAAAGAGCTTCGAAAGTATATAATTACTTATCATAATATTATAATCTCGGTCTCGGTTCAGTTTGTATCCATATGTAATTTTTTTTATTTTTTTTTATTAATATCCAATATAAGAGAAGTGTCATCAGCGAGCATTGAAATTTTCTTTTCCCCATCAATGAAATGAATACCTTTGATGTCTTTCTTATTTCTTATCTTAATAGCAAGGATTTCAGCACATATCAAAAATAAGTATGGGGATAATGGTTCTCCCTGGCGACATCATCGATGTACATGTAAAGAGAATGTTTCTGATAAATTTCCTCCCTGATTTACTGCTGATGTAATATTTGAATAAAATAAACTAACCCATTTCCTCATAGACTTTCCAAAATTAAAAAAGTTAAGTGATTTTTAAATA